GTGATTTGGACAGTCCAGCGTGTGCTCCCGATGCAGGGGAAACAAATTCTGTCGGGGATACCTAGTTTGGCACGACACCGGACCCATTATACTTTGTTTTGTTGGAAAAGCGGACAATGATTATTCTTATTTAAATACAGAATTGTGCAAAAGTCTCATTTCTTTTCATTTTGCTCTGAAAAAGGGAAATCGGTCCAGTCATTTATTGAAGCTTGTACAAACAGTGCAAAAGGCAAACACAGAGTTTGTGCATTTCTAATGAGCCTAAAGTCAATATTTGGCAGCGCAGTCTGAACTCTCTTAATTCTGTAAGTGTTCAGGAAGAGTTCTCCAGGACATTCAGAGCTCTTCTTTGTTCTGTTGAGCTATGCTCTTACTGCACTGTCAGTATGTTTGGGGTCACTGTCCTGCTGAAAAATGAAGCCATTAATAATCAGATGCCTTCCAGATGGTTTTACATGATTAAAATCTGCTGGCACTTTTATTTGTTCATCAATCCATCAAGCTTGACAAGATCCCCAACACCGCTGGCTTCAGTCTGCCTCAGATCATCACACAGCCTAGCCATATTTGGGCATAAAGACAAGGATTTTTAACCAAAAAAGTCAAATTCAGTCTCAGCTGTTGATTTTTGCTCCAGTACTTTTGGAATTTGGCATACCTCAACCCTGTTCTCGTCCTTAATAATTGCTTTTTTATATCCATATTTTCTCTGAAGCCATTTCTAACCAAGCTTTGGTGAACAGTAGATGGATCAACTGAAGGGCCAGATGTTCTCTCAGGTCATCAGTCATCTACTGTGTGCAGTTCTTTGTAGACAACTTCTCTTTTTTACTCATCTAGTTTCCTCAGTTTTCTAAATGACACAGATATTTTTTGTTAATCACTTAGTTTGTTACTATTCCATGCCTGTCAAACTGTTTCATCTTTGGCATTTTTCATAGATTTCCACTAAGAAATGACAACAGATTCTGTTTTGTGACTGTCAAAACTTTTGCACATACCTTTAAAAATAAGTGACTCTTTAGTTATCGAAGCAGCTGCAGGTTTCTACCATTGTCGTTTGAGCTCCAGGTTTTTTGGTCTGTCAGATTATCTCCTCTTCACAGGCTCCATCTGCGCACACAGACACTCCTCGACAGTGACTGCGAGCTGCGTCGGCGAGGCTGTGTTGGTTAAACTCAACGACAAACAAGCTGCTAAGTCAACATCTAAGAAGTTCACAACTAGGTTGTTTATTTTATGATAACTGATACAGGATAAATGTTATACATTCTATTTTAACACTGATATTTCGATTTTATTTTCAATGTCAGTATGCAAAAAAAAGAACAATGCAAAATTAAACATTTGGTGATGAATATGATACATAATTTGATCTTCATTAATATTAAACCAATTAATCTTAAGGACTCATCGTTGCCCCAGTGATAACTTGTTTAGCTACAACACAAAAAAGGGGGAAATACAAAAAAAATAAACAACAAACATCAAGAGTTGGCTGACAGCAAACACTGTAGAGAACCACATGATCTTTAGATGTGTAGATGCATATATAAAAATACAGGATCCCTGTTGTGTGTATATATATGCACATACAGTAATAACGCATTTACTATAGTTGCAGAGCCTGCAGTGGGCCTACAATGAGACAAAAATGAAGAGAGCAGGATACACATACATACACACGTTTACCATAATCTCCCCATAGAAACACACAGAAACCAACCGACCGACCCACAGGCAGGCTCTCCGGCTTTAGAGGCTAAAAACTACATTTGACTTAAAAAAAAGGAAAAGAAAAAGAAAAAAAACAGACATTCACATTTCTCAAACAAATCCCATGATCTCATGAGTCCTCACCTGATCAGCTGACTCAGCCGTCAGCCTTATTAACGTTACTGCCACCACAGAAGCTCGAATGATGAAGATGCCGAGGATGATGAACTCCGTTCGTCCACTCGTGCTGCAGATCAGGGCCGAGCTGGCTCTCATTGATTACTTCACTGTCTGTTGGCCCTCGTCCCCGCATCGTCACTCCTCTCGCTCACTCACTGACTCACTGCGTTTCTGCCAGTTTCTTCATCCGTGAGTCAGAGTGACTGAGCGAGCGCGTCGTGGAGACACGACTGCAGCTGTTTATGTCTGTGTTTAGTGTACGTATGTCCTTTGCATTCATGCATTTACCTGTGTGTGTGTCTGTGTGTGTGCATTACTGTCCATCTGTGCAGGCCTCTACGGTGAAGAAGGGGCTTTGCTACCGCTGTAATGAACCTGGTATCTGTTGACCATCTGCCCCTTCACTTCAGTCGAGAGGCAGGTAGTCTTGCAGGGGATGAGATCCTCCTCGTCTTCGCCCATTAGCCAGTTCTGTACGGAGCGTTCAGCCGAGGCTGCAACATGATTGGTCAGCCAGCTCTGGTGCCACTTGTCGAAGCGTTCGTGCTGGCTCGCTGCCACTCTGTGCTGCGACTGTGAAGGAAGAAGACAAACTGTCAGAGACTTGTCACCGAGAGACAAAACCGGATTTAACAAGCAGAAAACTAGCAGGATTTGTTTTCTCCAGCAGAGCTCTGACGAGACCCACGCGCAGGACGGGTGTCTAAATTTAAACTTAGATGCCAGCCTACCTTCCTGGCCTTGACGAGGGCCCCTCTGCGGTACATGTAGTCCTCAGAGTTCATGACAAACACCATCTTGTGAGTGTTGAGTTTAAAACGACAGTCGAGACTGCCGGCGTTTTCCACGCCCAGCTGGCGGTGCCACTCTCTCCTGCAGCGCATCGCCTCCACCTGTCGCACTTGCCAGCGGCGAAAACGGCGCAGGTTCCTGAAAAAAATGGAGACACGGTGTGGATTACAAAAAAACTGGCTTGACATATTCTCAGGGTGCCTGAAAGATCCGTTATACCCTGTTGATCTTTACAAATGTTATCTGAGATGACAGCAGATCTGTCATCAGATACCTTTAACAGAGCCTTCCCATAATGCTGAGCTGAGGCACAACGAGCCAAATGTAAACATGAAATCAATCAAAATCTATTTGTAAGTTTTACTTGATTGTTAGTTGAACAAATTCTGTCTAGTCTAATACACATAAAAGAAATGCACCATCACAGCACAACGTTTATTAAAAATAAGACGCGTAACGCAGAAGGTGTGCAGGAAGTCAAATGCACTTTGGTTTCTCTTTCCAAGTATAATGAAATATAATATATTACAGATTCATTTCCACTGTCACACCTTTATTCTGCTGTTATTTATACTGCCACATAAGTAGAAACAGTAGAAACAGTAGAAACATCTGTCATACCTGGGCAGAAATACGGGCTTGAAGAAGTAGCCCTCTGCTTGAGAGCACAGACTGGACTCTGTTCCTACAAACTGCTCCATGTAGCTCGACAGGCACTAACACAGGAAAGTTCCAGCGAGTTTAATCAAAGTCCAGTTATTCATTTCCAAGTTTCTGGCGTGTAAACAAGTTTAGAAATTGTTAATAAATAAGTGTTTACCTGAACATCTAGCGGGTCATCAGCCTGGGCCTCCTCAGTGTCCAGCAGCTCGATGGTCATTGTCACTTGACCCTTGTTTTGAATAAACATCACCTGATGACAAAAACGAAACACCCATGTTTGAATGACCTGAATCAAAACTATGACCCAAACATGTGACATGTGCTTTATTCAAACAATTACTTAATAATAATAATAATAATAATAATAGATTGCATTTATATAGCGCTTTTCAAGGCTTTACAATCCCACTATTCATTCACTCTCACATTCACACACTGGTGGAGGCAGCTACAGTTGTAGCCACAGCTGCCCTGGGGCAGACTGACAGAAGCGAGGCTGCCATATCACACCATCGGCCCCTCTGACCAACACCAGTAGGGTAAAGTGTCTTGCCCAAGGACACAACGACCAGGACAGAGAGCCCGGGGATCGAACCGGCGACCTTCCGGTTACAGATGAGCTTCCCCTGAGCCACGGTCGCCCCGACTTGACTGTAATTTCCCAAACTAAAGGCCCCACATGGCTGCGTGGAGCTCGGCAGACCACAGTCTGAATGTTACAGCTGTGTACGGTCACTGAGGGGCAGTGCCAAACATATTTGGAGCAACTAGTCTATTGAAGGCCTTTATGGGGGTTTTTGGCTGCTGTTGGTTCACCTTCATTGAACGTCTTTGTAGTGAAGCAAACAGTGTTAGAAACAATCAAACCTGTCTGTGATTCTCATTCTGCTGTTTGAACCGAGCTCTGGCTCATTTCCCATCAGTCGACCTACAACATCATCATCAGGTTTGTGTTGTTTTGGTAGAAATGCACACAAGCACATCTGCATCGTTTCACACACAAAATCTTTCTCTCTGTGTAGTAAAGTTCCTGCACGAATGGACATAAACGCAATGAATTCCTCTTGAGTCAAAGATGGACAGCAGCATCCAGATACCTGGGAGATAAATTAAAAACAGTCGGTACCAACCAAAGAGAAGCCGAGAGGGAGAAGTGGCCTCATGTTGTAGCGTTCTCAGTAGAACTGTGCCATATTATACACATCATTTAAGAAAGCAAACTTTATTGATCCCTGAGGGGAAATTCCTCTCTGCATTTAACCCGTTCACCCAGTGAAGCAGTGGGCAGCCATCGGGCGCCCGGGGAGCAGTTCAGTGGATTCAAACCACCAACCTTCCGATCACCACTCCACCTACTGAGCTATCCCTGCCCCAATAACAATAATACACTACATCTCTCCCCCCGCCCTCCTCATACTCAGTAGTGTAGCGTTTCTCGTTCCTAGCATGCAGATAAAATTAAAATGTAAAAAGATAAAATTACTGAACACTGTGCTGTTTTCTCATTTGAATAATACCATCTTAAAAAAAAACAAAGCAAGCAAGAAACCGTTTGGATCCCAGAAAAGCATTTTCATTCTTCTACAACCGGTAATCAAGTATTCAACACCTGTTATCAAAGCGTTAGTACCAGAGAAAGGTAGCATCTGATTACATCGAAGTGTAAACGTGTTTATCACGCTGCGGTACAGCTGGCTGTCATTAAATAACTTCAGGTCCACAAAAACGTTAAATCTCAGTCATTAGTTGGAAGGTGAAATTTCAATCGACTGCACCAAAGGGCTCGAACAGCACGAGAAAAATGTAAAGAATGAATCCTTGGGGGAAAAAAAATACTTGGACTGGATGAGTGAGCTGGCTTTTGTTTTCCTACAATCACGTCCGTAAAACATTCCTTTACAAAAACAGCTTAAGTGATGCACTTTCCTTTTATGGGTACATTTAGTCCTCTGAAAGTTTTACTGTCCTGTGAAATCGCAGAGCAGCATATTTTTACTGCAGAGAAGGATCATCTGAAATAGTTTCAGCTGTGTGTCAGGGCCAAGCGTTTAATCCACTGTGCTCACCTTGAAGCAGTTCTCTTCGGCCATCACTCGCTCAGCTTTCCACTGGTAGCTGGTCTCCCAGGCTGCTCTGACACACTGTGAGGACAGGTTTCCCCCGGCTGCCCCTCGTTTCCTCTCAGCCAGGTAAAGCTCAACCACTTGCAGACACACCTCGTCGCTCACCAGGTGCTGCAACTTTAGTCAAAGAGGTAAATATTAGAATATGCCAGTGTTCACACTACAGAGTCACGGGACTCACAGAATTAACCTGTGTGTGAAACTGCTTACCTGTCGGATGATGTTGTGGATGACTTTGTCGATGGTGAAGCCGATATAGGCGTGGATGGTGAACATCTCCCTCAGCGTGTCCTCATATTGTGTAGAGTCCAGGTTGCCATCAAGCAAACTGCGCACCATATCGAGGAAAGCTGGGTAATACTCCTCTAACTCCACCTCGCCTGTGGAAGGGAAAGGACAGCACTTTTGTTAGAGCGGCTTCTCATTAAATCCTCCGTGTGGATGTGCAGTGGAGACTAGGAAAACCTGCGATGTGCGATAACTGTGATCAATATTGCGATAGCGATATGACTTGCGATAAAATAAATAGCAAAACAAAAAAACAAATACATAATTTCCGTTTTACTGCAACAGTTTTATTTAAAGAAAGCTGCTGTATTAGCAGAGTAACACCAAAGTGCACTTTAACATTGAAACATTGCCCCCACAAAAATTGTCTGAGGCTTGAATTCTCAAAGACATCCTTCCCGGTCTCTATAATTAGTTTTGAATAAACAGAACACACTTGTCGGTCTTCTTTAAGATCCCAGCTGGCCAGCACCTCACGTAATACTAACAAATTAATTTTAAAATATTTTCACTCGTGTGAGAGTGTGGAAAACACAGTCAGACACCGTGTTTTCAGTTCAGAGTCTTCGATGAGGAAGTGCACTATGAAGCTCATATACGGCTCCGTTGTACGACTTGATCATAGGTCTGTAGTTGTTGCGTAGTTTTCAGCTTGGCTCAGTTCAAACATGACGGTCTTGCGGCATGTTTCCTACATTTGTGGAATGGCGACGTGGGAAAAGTAGTTTCGTGAGGGGATGCGGTTTCTCCGGTCCACTTTATGACTGGTTAGCCCTCTCTGCTAACTGTATTTATAGGCATCATGTCTTTAGCCAAAAAAATGGCTAATGGCAAATGTAATGGCCTCTGTTATCTCTTTGTAGCGCTTCGACGTTTTCTAATAAGGAGTTCCACTTGAAAAACTCGGATACAGAGACGGCTGTTGGACTGCGGCGCTCTTTGTCTTAACATTAGCAACCTTTGTTTGGCTAGCCCTGTCTTTCTGGAACTCTTCAAACTGTTCTCTCTGGTTGTTGAAGATGATGGTGGAGGCGTGTTTCCTCTGGTGGTTGCCACGAGTGTTCGACAAGTGTCGCAGAGCACCTGTGTTTGGAGAACGTCGTCTTTATCAAATCCAAAGTACCTCCAAATAAGCGAAGTACTATTTTTTTAGCCATGAGTTCATAGTCAGTAGCGTTCTCGTCATGCGTGTCGCTCTCAGCCATTACAGCTCCGACTCGTTGCTGCAGCGTTGTTCGCTCCCCACCTGAGTAGGAGGCGGGCCTCTAATCCATTTGATTGGTTAATGCCGTGAAGGGCTCTATTCGACTGGTCAAATGTGTAAAGGGGTTTCTTTGATCAGTTCGATTTATTGCGCAGGCCTAGTGGAGACCCCGTCCCAGCAACCAAAAGCAGTTATTTACAAAAGGCCTGATGTGTGTTTGAAGAACAGATTCTTCTGATCTGAAGAAGGTTTGCAGCAACAAGTCAGTTATCAGAAACTATCGGTTAAAATGACGAAATATTAGAAAGTTTCTCAAACAAGAGGCTTTTCTGTGTCTTATATTACAAGGAGTGTAATATTGTGGCCTAAGACACTCTACATGTACAGCTTGCAATATGCTGAACAAGAATTTAGTTTGTTTTTGATAACCAGTAAACCAGTAAAGTGCCTTTAACTGGTCCATACAGGTCCTGCAAATCTGTTCAGAGCATCAAAAAATCTTTCACCACAGATTTCTTCCCTAAACACAACACAACGATGCTACTACAACACTCAGATTCTGAACAAAGTCAACTAAATAAAGGTTGACAGTACACGTAGCATTAGTAGAACAATCATTTTTCAAACGTTATTTTATTGCTGTGCTGTTTAAATACTGAGAAATGTTTCAACATTATTCCCTTTAGCAAACATTAATCTTATTTAATAGTGTGACCGACACCAATTTAAAAGCACATTCTGATTCAGTGCACATTTATTGAAACTAATTATCTAATCGTAACTTGTATATTACAGCGTGTGATTATTGCTCAGTGATCTGGAATAAAGCCACCCACACTGAGCTCACCTGTCTACCTCACAGCTGACCAACCCCACTTAAAAATCAAACACCTGACGACTGTAAAGATGCGAGTAACTGTAAACATAGACTGGACTTACTGGGCTGCTTGAGGCGGAGCTCCATAGCGAGGTCGCACGCCTTTTCCCTCCGTCCCTCGGCCATCAGCAGCCTCTCTCTGCTCTGCTCAGCTCGATGCTCCAGCAGCTGCCGTTCTGCTTGTCGGTAAACCCGCAGCAGCCGCGAACACAGAGTCTGGTGCAGCCGCAAAAAGAAATACCAGTTGTTGTTGACGAAAAACAGGTTGTAGACACCATCCAGCTCCTTTTGGTGCTCTGCTTCGGGGTCACGAAGGTCCACCTTCTCCCCGGCTGCACCCGAGCTCATCTCCATCGGCGTAGACCCCGGGGTCGGTGTGGACCCAGCAGGCTGGCTTATGCTGCTTGACGTGGTCGAGGCTTCGTTTTCTGCAGGTTGGGATGGGCTGCAGCGCCTCCTCCTGGAATCGCCGTTGAGCTGCTGCTGCGGTTGGGACTGGGTCTGGGACTGTGATTGGACAGGTTGGGGTTGAGACTGACAACTGCCGGCTGCTGCTCCTGATGCATTATTACCATTTCCTCCTCCGCCTGCTGCGGCGGTGGCGGTTCCACCTCCTCCTTTATCGCCTCCCTCTTCCGGCTCAGCCTCCTCATCCGTCCATTCTTCAGTGTCACTGAGCTCGCCGCGGCGGGAGAAGAACAAGTCGGGGACAAAGTGCTGAATGATGCGTTTGATGTGGTCCTTGTCGTCTTTGTGAATGGTTGGTTGTCGTTTAACGTGGTAGATGATGAGTGAGGCAGCATCCTCCAGGATTTGTTTGTCCTCGTAAGTAAACACCATGTGAGGTTCGCTGGATGAGGCTGAACCGTTACGGCTTTGTTGGCCAACGCCACCTTCTTCTGTGCTCTGCTCCTGACGCTGAGGTAAAAAGAAGAAAATCAGACAGCAGAAGGAAACTACTACAGGCCAAGCAGAAATGTGGAAACCTTTGACACCAAGAGGTTTCACTGACCTCTGACAAATCCCTCAACAAAAAAAACCCACCTGCACTCAGTTGCTCTAAAGCTTTTGACTGAAACACACCATCTTCATTATGAGTCATGGTGTTAGAGCAAAGCCATTTAAAGAAAATTATATGGCTCTGTTCTTACAAATGCTCCTAGAGTAGCTTTGCATACTCACAATTCATAATAATGTTCATTTATTTCAGTTCAGGCCCTCAACTCATCTCCTGTCTGGAAAAACTGTTTTAGCTCCTCCCCCTTTAAGCCCACCCTCCTCATAAGTTAGCTGTCCTCTAATTGGCTGTCCATGACAAACAAAAGGTTTGAACAGCAGGAGGCGGGGCTGGTGGTCAGAGCTTTGCCCAGGGATTTTGGCTCATAGGGATTGTCACTACCCGATCCGTACCGGAAACCCGATCGGTACCCCGCATGCGCAAATCTTACGTCACTTCCTCTCTTTGCCAACATTGCGACATTCAATATATTTGAATGATACGGTTAGCGCCCAGTTAGCTCCTAGCATTTCTCAACAGCTCTGCCTCCTTTTCGACTACCGGGACATTTAAACAATGGATAATCCGTATACAAACAAATTCATGCTTTTCTCCTCAACAGAGAGCGTTCCCCGATTGAACAACAGCGCCGTAAAATAAGAAGAATGGCGCCTAATTACAGACTTAATAATATTGACTTAGCAATGTGTCACATGAAGATTCAGCAGCCAGATTAAGTGTTTACTGACAATTGACAGTGATAGCGGACATCATCACTATTCCAGTCAATCCTCTCCACACAGACAAGCATAAACACACTCGACTATCACTAAATCAAATTTAACACACGTTTGTAATGACGCCAATTCAGTTTACAATAGAGTTCATTCACTCAGTCAGCAGGTGGCAGTATCCTCATACACTGGGGCGTAAACTGCCATTAAACGAACAGAAGAAGAAGAAAACATCTGCACATGCGCAGTAAGGATCGGGGAGTCCCGATCCGTAACTATCTTTTTATTTTTCGTTTTTGTCTACATTGTACTGAAATGCTTCATTATTGCAAACATTTTAAGATATACTTATTATTCTTAACATCTTAACCGATACTCTGACCCGTAACTATCGTAAAACGCTACGACCGGAAGTAGACACCTTTCGCGCATGCGGGGTACCGATCGGGTTTCCGGTACGGATCGGGTAGTGACAGGGATCACCCATCACGTATACAGACCTCAACAGGTCCACTTTAGTAACGTCAATGTGGACGCGAAATCCTAAAGAAGCATCAGAAGTTTGAACAGGTTAAAATGTCAAATACGCAACTTCAGTCATGTGACGCATGTTGTGCACCTGACTGATGAACTGAAAGCACCAGAATAATCGTTTTAAATTTTAGAAAATGTGAGAGGATAATAGTCAGGTTACACTATAATGAACGCTTTTATACCCTCTCACTGAGTCTGACTCTTCTTATGATTATACAAAAGCGATTATGCAGGACTGCTATATCAGGCTTTACACCTCGTTATCTTTTCATCACCATTCAAGGTCGCGAATAGAGGAGCGTTTACCTCGTCGTAGATGCTTTCAATCTCATTAAGAAGACTTTTCGACCGCAGGGCCTTCATATCGTTCTGTTTGAAGTTGACTCCTTGGTGGTCGAGGGACTTCAGGTAGGCCTTCTCGTACTGCTCCCTCCAAATCTTATTGAAACCCTGCTGGGCCTCTCTCCACTCTTCCTCCTTAGCTTTCAACCTGGAGAGGAAAGAAAAGCTTTAAAGTTGATGCCTACAAAAACATTCGTGTAGTTGAATCTATTTTGTCGCCACAGTGCGTTTGTTTTTTCACATGTTGGACTGGAAGGAAAAAGGCAGTTCTTCAGAAAGCACTATTCGTGTAGCAGGGTGCACAAAGACCTCCATGTTGATACAAGGATCTTGCTCACGCTGTCAGCAGCTGAATATTCCCATCATATTGTCACTTGCTTAAATCTCTCAGCTGGTCATGTAAACAGAAGTATAATCAACAGTTTTCCTTCTATAGCCACAGTGATGTAAACATTAGATGCTACTTCATATGCATATGAAAGAATATTGTAGCTATAATGCTTAAAGTGTCTGCACATGTCAGACGTCACTGGGGAATTCTGACATAAAGAGATTGTCCTGACCTCTTCAGCACCACAGGCACAGCAGTAGCAGGACTCCTCTTCAGTCCCTCGATGATCTCAGGGGCTTTGTCGCCATAGATACGATACACCGCACGACGCTGGATGACCTCAGAAGTGCCGCCCAGGCAGTCGTCTAATCTGAATCGGTCCTGGTCCTCTGGTGAGAGGCGAGAAAGCTTCTTCTGGACACTCTCTAGGACTCTGATGGTGGCCAAGTTTGTCTCCAGAACAACATCCAACTAAAGAACAAGTGTTAGAGACGGCTTTTAGAGGGCATCTTCTAAAGCTTAGCACCACGCGATATATACGTTTAAGAATAAAACATCCTCGGGGTCACAAAATATATTTACCGCTTGTTAAAAACGCTAACATTAAGATGCACATACCTCAAATCTTTCATCCTCACAGCGATGCAGCTGCTCCTCATAAGGAGTCTTCTTGGAGCTAACAAAGGTTGAATCTTCTGACCAGGAGGGGAAAGACACCCAGGTGTCATTCAGTACCTGCACACATACAGATAAAAACACACGTTTTCATGCCAGCACACTTTTCTGTGGTAACACTTTAAAGATTGCTTTTTATGCACCTTGATATTTTTACTCTGGACTTCAGAAAGTAGAAGTTAGAATATCATCGCCTGATCAATCTGCTGTAGCACAGATCCCTTTAAGGCATCTTTCTACTGATTGGGTGCCCCTCACACACAAAATATTTGAAGAGAGGGTAAGTGAGGCTGCCGTGCTGACAGAACGCCTTATCAAGAAGGCACATTTTAGGGGTATGCAGGAAAGATTTAAAGCAGCCTGGAGGCTGAGCCTCAGCGATTACTTGTACATGTGCTGCCTTTGTTATTTGAAACTTTTCTATGAGAAAAGGAAAAACATCTTTAAGCTACATACTGCCTCCCTGTCCTTACAATCCTAATACAGCAGTAGGGTCAAGGTTTCTATTAGGGGGTCACATGATGTGCATACTACTGAGCAAACAGTACATCTGTGTATACATGTGCTCCTAACTGCATGTGTAACCTTTTGCCATGGTTCAACATTTTCAAAACTGAGTTCCTGTTTTTGTGTACTTTGCACTCGAGACAGAAACACATGCACAAGCAATACACTTTCCCCCCGTTGGTTTCCCACCGTTTCACTAAAATACAGGTGGCAATAAAGTGTGAGAAAAGGTGGGAAGACTGACTCGCAGCTTCATTCAGACACGCACACAACAATCAGAAAGAGAGCAATGATGGCTCTCTGGAGCACAAGATATTCACCATATCTGCAAAACGTTACATCAGTGATGCATAAAGTGACTTATGAGGTCAGAGTCTTGTACATCACTGTGGTTATTCAGAGTTTTGAAAAGGGAATTATTTATAGTGTTGTTTCCTGTTAGATACTGATCAGGGACAGGGTTAGATGATCAATTGAAAGGTTCCATGTCAGGTCTTTGCTGGATTTTATTTTCCCCATTTCTTAAGGACATGACTTTCAGATATTGTTCATCTACTGTAGAGACTTTTTTAGGTTTGACACTCATTTTGTCTGCAACTTGTCCGGTTTTCCACTTCCCTCAAACTTTTTTGAGGACACACTGCACACCATACTGAGAAGTGACAAGTTTCTGCTAATAGCTTTTTAGGAATTGACTTGCTGGCCTAGAAATACTATTTTGTGCCTGTCAAGCTGTTACCATTGGCATTATACAGATTCAAAATGGTTTCAAAACAGTGATAGTAAAGTTTTTCTAAAAAACTGCTGATTAGAAAACTTAATTGAT